GTGTGTGAGCACTGTGCTGCCTTTCTCATCATTGCCCAGCCTCTTCATCAGGAAGTGATGGTGGGGGGTCAGGCCTCATTTAATCAAGGAGAAAATGTCAACTCCCATTAACTTAATTAATCCAACGCTGGAGAAAGAGAAGCTGAAAGAAACCTGTGTGTGTGTGTGTGTGTGTGTGTGTGTGTGTGTGTGTGTGTGTGTGTGTGTGTGTGTGTGTGTGTGTGTGTGTGTGTGTGTGTGTTAATGTAGGTCTGTGAGAAAATAACCTTTATAAGCCATAATCATGAAGGGATTTATCCAATGAACTAAAGAGGGACACTTTAAATGATGTAACTTGCACAGATGCAGTAATGACTTAATGGAAACAACACTGAAAGGGAATTCATTTATAATATTTTTCACCTATAGATGAATCCGAGCTGTAGGCAGAAGTAAACAATCCACCATTCACCTTGCCCGCACATCACTTATACAACCCTGAACACTTTGTATAGCGCTGTCATATAATGCATGCAAATGATTTCACTTGTATGCCAATACATCTAACCAAGAGATCCATTAGAACCTTTTACATGTTGAAAATATAATCATCAAATTATATGTTCAATAAGTTCTTGGTCCCCCAAACTGAGACTTTAGAAAAGTGTTCCTTCTGTTTTAATTAAATGATTAATTAATTTGAATGAAATCCTCAATTCATGGTGGCTTTAGTTGCAGCACTGCACTTCAAATCCAGACTGTGCAGGTCAGACAGAATCAATAGGTTAATTTTGTTTTATCCCCAAAGCCTGTGTCGAAGCTAATTTCAAACTAGAGAAGGTTGACACTTGAAAACCTTCACATTCACACAGACAGAGGGGGCGACTGGTTCCATACATCTCTGCTTTCACTCTCAGTACAAATGTGTTTTTAGACCTTTCAGTAAGTGCTGCTGCATTGGAGAACACCACACATAAATAATCCATCAGGCTTGAAGGAGGTCAGACAATAACAATGTAGAGGTGTTCAAAACAAAACGAGGCAACTCATTCCAACACTCAGAAGATGCTTAAATATTGCAGGTAACACAAACAGGAAAGCTAAATTCAATTAGGGTCATCTAAAAAAAGACAACATACATTATATCAAATACATCCAAAAGCACTAAAATGGATTCATACAGTATACTGTATATGGATTATGTGTTTTCAGCAGTGATTCATTTTCTTTAAAGTGAATACGTTACTGTCAGCATGCCCTTCCTAAAATGTATGAATATTTGAAATAATATGAAAATAAGCGATTACAAGCTAAATCAGGTTCATCCGTGTTTAATCTCAATTATACTTGCTGAACCTCAGTGTCTAATATTGGATAGAATGTGTAGTCTAAATGTACCCTCACTATTCATGGTTTTACCTTATTGGTCTAATGCTATTCAGCCTGTTCATACAACATAATTAACCACCAATGTGTCAGTCAAGCTTTGAACTCTTCGGTTCCTTTTATCTCCCACCTACAAAACCGATCTTGATCTTTTCACCTTCTTTGTTCAATAATTCCCTTTTTCTCAAGATATCTTACACTTTTATCATTCCAGCTTGTTCGTCAAAGAAATGAAGTAAACTAAAATTCATACATTGCATTAAGCGTGTTCAAACATTGGAAAACACGGCAATGGACGCATTCTTTCACACTCTAAATCATAAAGCTTTCTTTAAAAAACAAGAATGATGAAGCTTTAGCACGGTGGCTAAGAAATATCTCCTTTGACCACGGTTTATGTAGCACTCTGTTGCTTATCTCACACCAGCTCATCAACCAGGACTTCCCCTCTCTCTCACCGACTTTAATGTCCTGCTGCTGACACACAAATCCCTTCATGCCGCTGCACCCATTTCATTTCCAGAGCCCCTCCTCCTCTGTCTCCTCCTCTGGCCGCTACTCTGTCCCCAAATCACCCTGCTTCTGGAATGCACCACCCCTCTCCATCTGTGCTGCCAGCGCTATCGATTGTATTGAACTGTTGCTGTCAAATGAAAAATGGCCTCGTGTTGGAATTGATAAAGTAGGCAAAAATAGCCGAAAAGGACAAAAAACAGATGTGTGAATAATTGCATCAATGAAGGATGAATGTGCAATATCGGATTTATAGTTGAGCTGTGATAGTGTTCACAGAGCAATACAAATATTCCTACAGAGGGTTCCAGCGAGGTCCACATCTAAATGAACCTTTAGGAACATATTAAATATATAGTTTAAAGATCCCTACGCTCATGACGTAGCTATGAAACATGCAAATCGATAATTGTCTTATACACAATTTCCTACTCATTTAGAAAGAAACAGTCTTTGACACAACACCAGCAAAGAAACCTGAAGACTCCAGAGCAGCGTGGAGCTGTCAGTGTGCATTGACATAGTGAAAGATTTGACCGGAAACATACAGGTTTTGAATGTAAACCAGACCCTTTAGTACCCTTTACCTCTACCAGACAATCCCACTTATATTTGTATGCATCCAGAGCAGTAACACGAACAAACAACAGATACCAAATGCCAACTAAACTTTCTGGTCTGATGTGTCTGCTAGTTGCAGATTATGATGCATTATTTGTGTCCCATTTTTCTTCCAAAGGAAGAAACAGAGAAGACGCAAAAAACGAATCAAGGCCAGGTTGAACATTACAAAGACGTGCTTCCACTTCTTATGTGTTTAACAATATATTCATCAACACGGTTAACAATCGTTTCTATCTTTGTCCCTCACAGAAAAGCCTTTTTCGGTGGAGCTGAGCTGCGGGGCGGGGCCCAGTCATGTAGTGTTGGAGCCAGGTTCGCCCCTCCTGCTGGACTGCAAGCTTGGGGCCACTGAGACACCTTTCAATGTCACCTGGTTTCAGGATGGCCAGCGCCTGCCTCTGGAGGGGGGGGGCTTCCTGCAGTATTTGGCCAACGGATCCCTCCTCCTGCTGCCGACCTCTAAGGAGGGCCAGTCCCCCCACCAGGGAGTGGAGGGGGGCTACAGCTGTGTGACTGCTAGCGCCCTCGGAGCCCTGACCAGCCGGACTGTGAATGTTCTCCTTGCAAGTAAGTCTCCAGCAGTTACAGGGCTGTCATATGCTCATCCATGACAATGAACATGTATCAAAATCAATGCATTTGGAGCATTGATAAAGCTACAGTGATTTGTCTAGAGTTTACTGCTTTGGGCTCCAATCCCAAAGTTTAAAAAGTGCATTGATAGATGGATAGAAAGTTCAACAAACGTTCTTACCATAGCTGCCTTAGAGATAAAAAGTTTAATAGAGTAGAACGGAAACTATTAGTTAATCTACACAAAATAAACCCATCCGATAATGGAATGATAATTTAGTAATTTCTTTAAATAGCAAAGCCCTAATTTGAATGGATCCAGCCTCAAATGTGGATGTTTTCTGCTTGTTGGAGTCCTCTATGATGGTGAATTGCGATCGTATTTGGTTGCATTTGCCCCCTTGGTTGGGCGAAACAAGAGTTTTGGGGAGGTCACCATTGGCTCTCGGAAAATGTGGTGGATATACATAGCTCACTATTTTCTGCCACTTTGTTGATAGACACTAAAGGGAAAGCTACAAAATGTGTTTTTGAGTTTAAATTAAGTTCTTCTTCCACCATGGTGATTATATCATGAAAATACAGTTACTTTTTGTGTTGTGGGGCATCTGTTTTTCTTGGCAGTAAAAATGCTTAACATTTCATGAAGAGGTAGGTCGCACTGTCCCTTATGTAATGGAGGAATATTGGTTGGATTCATTTATCCATTTAGAGTTCAGTATGCAAACACACACAAGCAATGTGATTTGTCAGATTTGTCAAGGGATTTCTCTTGCGTCGATGGAGATGAACTTGGTTCTACTGCGCCTCAGATAGGAGACTTATCCTCTGATTGAGTACTAGCAAGTGTCCTGGGAGTAAGTACACTTTTAAACATGAGTCGGTTAAAAGGCAGGAGGAAAACTGAGCGGAAATGAAAGAAATGTACAGGAAGATCCAAGGAGGCCTCTTTCTCTCACACTCTTTAAGTGGTCATCTTTATTTAGTCATTAGCTTTGTATAAAATGAGACAGTGCTCTTTGTGGGTGCCCCTGCTTTTGTCAGCTGTCACATGCCTATTTATGAGGATCTCTTGTTTGAGGAATAAAAAAGGAGTAAAGGAGGCGAAGGGGGGATGAGGGATGAATGGTGAGAAGGCAGAAAAGACTGAAGAGAGTTTGTGGTGATGGTGAAAGGAAAGGCTTCAGACACCATTAAGAATGACCTTCGTGTGTGTGTGTGTGTGTGTGTGTGTGTGTGTGTGTGTGTGTGTGTGTGTGTGTGTGTGTGTGTGTGTGTGCATAAGAGTGTGGCGTTTGAATTAAATCAGCAGCGAAGGCCTATGAAATGGATGTGACCAGGAGGTCGAAGCTGAACTGCTCCAACGTTGACATTGAGCGGACATTCTCATTTCCTACTGTGTCTTCTCCAGCAGAAATGAGACTGGAGAGGGAACGTAGCAGAGATCACATCTGTGAAAACACATTACGAAACCCACCTGCTCCAGTTTCCCTGTCGCAGTATATGATGCGTGTGGCCTTGTATAAAAGCATGTAAATGTGTTGGGAAAGGAAAGACACAGTGAAAAAGGCTGGCTCACTCATTAGATACGGACAAACAGGAATTCAAAATCCAACTCGCTCTTTTCTCGGCAAAATGCCAGAGGAGGCACACAGTGTGCACATTACATTTCCCAAACACATCCACGGGTAAACGCTGATGCAGGAGAAAAAGCAGCTTTTAATGTTAATCAGACCAATTAACCTTTCTCATTATGGGGCTGCTGAGGTGAATGTTGGTATATCCTAATTCAGACCAGCTTTTGCAAGTCATTACTGTCAAATAGCTGATGACATAATTATAATAAAGGTTGCGCTCTCGATAATAAACAACCTGTGTACTTTATACGTTTATACATTGTGGGGTTTTCATCACGGTGTATCCCTGTTTTTTATTTAAAACTAACGTGAGGGTCATGATTTTAGTAAAAACATACAATCGTCATTTCAAATCTATGCAAGCCATGGCTTCGAAAGATGAAAATATGAGGAGCGGTAGTTCAGGAACATCTAACAATATAATCAAATGTACCGGCTGAAACATTTTACAAAAAGTACAACAGGTTTGTTAGAAATAGCTTTCATTTTTTACGTATGATGAATAGATCCTACGGTCAGAGTTTAGCCACTTAACAAAGCTTCAAAGGGCAGCAAAATGTCATACCACACATGTTTCGCAGTTGCTGTTACAAATATCTGTTGAGGCTAGGGGCACGCTTTATGGGTTTTCATGGCCTGAAAGCTGGGTAGCAGAGGGGTCACGGGGGGAATTATCTGTTGCACAAGGGGAGGGGAAAAACGCTGCAATCTGATAGCTGTGGGGCCAAAGAGTGGGGCATAGATAGAGGGACAGACAAAGACAGAGAACAAGTCTGGGGTAAAGTCAGGGGCAGGGGGGAGGGAGAAGCAATGAAAAAGAGAAATGAGAGTGAGTAAATACATATGTGGGGACCTTTTTATGTAGTGCATTGAATTGTTAGACACTTTTCATAGAGCAGTGCCCAGGGAGCTGCCTCAAAATGTTTTTTCTAAAGACCTTGTTGCTAGGAAATAATTGGATATGTTTTTTTACCCTTTGACTTGATATGTCACCTTTTGTTGGGAGTGTTACTTTGAAAAACAGCAAGGTGCCGGGCGCTTCTCTCATGGAATTTCATTGCGGGGGGGCTTACATAGATTCCTGATAAAGACTAATATGATTATGCCTCGACAGAGAGGAGGTTGAAGTCCTGCCAGTCGCCATTGTTCCATCACAGCATGGGCAAAGTGTCTTCTCCAAACACCGCCCGCCTCCTTTGTGCTAAAGTTTTCTCATCTGCACTCTGGCTGATCAGCTGTTGTTTACCATAGAATCAGGTTTATTGCCAAGTAGGTTTACGCATACAAGCAAGCATTTGTTTGAGTCCATGCATTACACAAACACAATAAGAGGAATTAAGGTGTAAAAAAGAGCAACAACATATTTTAAAATCGCTATCAAACAAAAAATCCAGACGTAAAAGTATAAAAACAAATGTTTGCACATTTTATGAATATACAAAAAGATAAGTCCCATTTAAAACTTAATCCAAGAATAAAAAGTTGCAGGTTATCAGAAATTAAGGTGTCAGAGCTGTGCAGTTTGAAAAGAGGTAGCAATTGAACAGGAATGTGGAAAATATAAAAAGGAATGTGAATTTACAGTATGGAATATGATCCGCCACACACACATACAGCCTCACACACACTAACACACTTCGTCACACTGACAATCATATGCTCACAGTCATCCAGTAATGTTATCACATGCAGTTCTGTACAGGCATCAAAGAACACACTTGAGTCAACACTGAGGTACAAGTAGCTCGGCACACATGTACTCAAATGTACACGTGTGCACTCACACACACACACACACACACACACACACACACACACACACACACACACACACACACACACACACACACACACACACACACACACACACACACACACACACACACACACACACACAGCTGGCACCCTGTCAGGCTCTCTGGCAGTGGTTCAGTTGGTGTGTTTACATGAGGGCATCCTGCTGTGTAATGGCTATATGTGGCGGCGGTTAATCATCAACTATTCCTGCAAAAACTTGCAACGCAACAATCACTGCAAGTGTTTCTGAGATGAATCAAATGTTTTCTGCTGCTATGGCCAGCCTCTGTGAACTGAAACGTTCTCCCAGCACAGTAGGAAAACACAGATGGCCAGTTTGTTGACATGACCAACAGTTGGTGTGAAAGGGTTAGGGTAATCATGCATAGTCTCCTCGAGCTTACAGTGGTTCAGAAAAGAAAGCTTGTTAAAAGATGCGGGATTGCTTGAAAACTTGATACAGTCTTGTTATTGGTTGCAAGTTTGAAAGTACCCCAGTTTGAACATTTGTGGAGTTTAATATCTCAACAATATTTGCTGTGTTGCCATGAGACTTCAGACATTCATGCCACCCTTTAAATAAATGATACGATCTCTTAACGTTTCTACTGGTGCTATTGTCAGGTCAGAATTTAACTTTGTCTGATGGTTCGGTTTATTTCCCTCAGCTGTGCTTTTTTTTCTTTGCTAATTAGCAAATGTTAGCATGCCACCTGCTGAAATAGGATGGTTTAATCATGTACTTATAACTGCTCAACATCTGCATGTTAGCATTGTCAATGAGAGTCTACAACCGCATTTAGCACATTACACCAATGTGCCATAGTACAGTCTCACAGCTGCACTCTGCAGACTCTAAGCTTTGTTTACTTGAATTTCAGTGGACTGCAAGACATCATGGCTCATTTACATGGCTTGGTCCTAACTAGAGTAACCCAAAAGAAAGAGCATTAAAGAAACGCTTCCAGAATCACTTGGATTCAGAGTAGTAAACAATTTACGTGTAACCTCTAAGTAAGATCTAATCTTTCGGCAAAAGGCCTATGCAATCTGTTTAAACTATAACAGATTAGTCCTTCTTGCAAGTTATGTTTCTGTATGTAACACAGCTGGATAATCTTTACCTGTGTTCATGCTGTGCAAATCTGGTGTGAATCAGTTCTGCGATTAGCCCCACATGAGGAAATATGTTACAGAACAACATAAAGGAAACACTAAGCATGACTGATAACAAAGCACTTTATTCTATATACTTTAAACCACTCCACTTTTCTTTGGTACATTTCCTGGAGCACATGTATGTATGGAAAGATTTACAGTCTTCATGTTGGCAATGTTAGTTTTTCTGCCACTTATACATATATAGTGTCTTTTCTAGTTATATATCATCTGGGATTTGGAGTCTCCTTCTGTTACCTCCCTGCTTTCTTCCAGCCTCTTGTTGCTTTCTCTGTCTTCTTTCTCCGCACTCTCCTTTCATCCACCCCCCACTCTCTACTCTTCAGTCAGAGCTGCAGGCCAGTGACTGGGACAGCCAACCAGTTTTGTTCTCTTCTCCAGCAGCCTGTTGGGGTCAGAGGCCCTCAGACAGCGCTCACTGCTGCCCCCTGGTGCTGGGTATTATCTACAGGAGGAGGCTCTTCCCATGCTGTGAATGTGTTGATGATGTGAAAGTTGGAGCTCTGCCAAGACTCAACCTGGAGAGAGAAATAAGCTAGCCAAGCCTGATTAAATCCCCAAATTTCTCCTAATCAGGACATTCAAGGGTATTTAAAAGGTCTGAACGAGTCTATAATTAAATTACAAAATGGAAAACGGTACCTTTTTAAAATCCCTAAAATGGACTGATTGTTAACCTAATTATGCTGGTTTTAAAATAAACCAATTAAAATGAAGAATCTCCAATAAATGTTATATTTTAAACCACATTTTGAATGGGATAATTGGTCTCAATTAGGTTGAACACACAATTAATGTAGAGCCCCTTCCATGACCACATTGGCTTTGCAGCCCATTTAATTGTATGTACTTGGTGTGTGTGTGTGTGTGTGTGTGTGTGTGTGTGTGTGTGTGTGTGTGTGTGTGTGTGTGTGTGTGTGTGTGTGTGTGTGTGTGTGTGTGTGTGTGTGTGTGTGTGTGTGTGTAATCTCCATGTGGATTCTGATGGAAACAGAGCTGTCCAACAACTGTGGACCAAACCTTCACAAAAACACTGTCTGTCTCATCTTGTGTGACCTACTTTAAACACTGTAGTCCGTGTCCTACAGGTAGACAACATGACACACATAAGTCAGACCAATACAAATATGTCACTTGCTGGAACAGTAATTTAGAGATGGGCTCCTTTTTGTCTGTCTTTTGGGAAATCAACAGCTCTGCGTGCGTTGATAGATACTGTACCCCCCTGACCTCTATCCCCTCTCTACCCCCCAGGTCTGTCTAAGTTTCATCAGGAGCCATCGCCCCACACAGTGCCCGCTGGGGGGGCTGCTCGCTTTGAGTGCCAGATTGAGGGAGTACCCACACCTGTTATTACCTGGGAGAAAGACACAGTGGCCGTCCCTGAGGAGACAAGGTGACCCTTTTATTTGTTTTTGTCCTTCACCTTCTTCCTTTTCCATATTCTCTACTCTGATCTCATTTTTTAACAACATATCAATGAATAACTGATGTGATTACTCAGGTTTGTTTCAATTAATTTGAGTGCATATTCATTTTGTTATTGTTTGTTTTACCTGATACTTTTCCCTTTGTGTGTTCACTCTTTAATATCTTACTGCTGCTGTCCATTACATAATGACATTAAGTCATTCAAATGATTGATATGATAAATCATATGGGACTTGAGTTTCTAGTTCAATTAATTACTATACGATGTAATGATCTATAGTTTACTAAAATGCTTAAACAGTTAAGCCTTAAGTGCTTATTTAATGCAAGCTCAGAGAATGTGATGTGAAGAATACTGTTGTATTAAACTATAGATGGATGTGGCCCTCAACATTTGGTTTAAGGCAGTGCAGAAAAGACTATTCATTGCTACAATATAAAACTGCAACAGTCAAAGTGTTTGCAGTTTGTTTAAATAAATGTTGTCTTTCACAAATGTCGAGAAAGGGAAGTAGACGACACACTTAAAGGTGGGGTAGGTAATTCACTTCAGAAACACTTTTTGTTATATTCCATGGAATGCTCTTAACATCCCGATAGCAATGAAAATATGAAATGCTTTGACAATAAATCCATAAAATAAATCCATCTGTGGAAGCCGTGGCGCTGTAAAAAGCACGACCAATCATCTGAGCCGGCCCGGCTAAAATAACTGGATGGCCTACCTGCCTGTCAGCCTTCCATCGTCCAACTTATCTCGTGCCCTCATTGGTCATGTGCGCGTGCGTGTGTGTTGGAGGAGGGGCTCTGTAAGGAAGTCTGAAGGAAGAGGCAGATTTTTTCGGGTTGTGTATTTTCAAATTGTATCGCACTCGAGCTGGTTTCCCCGAAATTACATACCCCACCTTTTAAATGTGCTTGTTTATCTAGAAAATTTAGTTTTGAGTTTTTGTATGTATTCATTGCAACCCATGTGCTACTGTACATATATATGATTTTACACTGTAATATGTTACTTTAGATTTTCAAGGTTAAAAGGGGAAAGTCTCCTTGTGCAATTGTCTTTCATTCCTCAATGCCACACTCATATTACTGGATGTATGAAGTTGACACTCATTCCAAAAGTGGTTGTTCTGTTTTGGAAACTTTATCCTTTATCCATGACATAGTAGAGAAAGTATTTGAGAATCACCTGTTTGCACCATGAGAAACTGAGTTGCAACTTTGTTTAATACTTTTGAGATTTTCAGCTTCCTTTTGCTTTAATTGAACATTTCCACCAAAGTGCTTCCCCCTGCTGTCTGTACCCAGCTGTGAATGTGACTTTGCTGCAGTCAGAAAACCTCAAAATGTTCCATACTGTACATGCCCGTAATAAGTAGATTAATGAAACATACATGCAAATATTTTAGAGGCGATTCATTACTGTGTTCATCCTTACCTCATCCTTTCTTTGTTTATTCCCCCTGGATCAGACTGTACTAAATTACAAGCGTCAGTGAAGGGGTCAGAGTGCAAGAATTTCAAAAAGCACTTTAAAGTAACCTTGGCAATTCAATGCAAGCTATGGATAATAGCAACAAAGAATGTACATGCAGCGAACTCTAATTTATTATCATGGAAGACTAATTGTGTGGGGTTTGACTGAAGTAGATAAAACATAAACTGCAACTGAACTATTTTCAAAGCAGACCTTTTGCCATTGGTGCAAAGACAGTTTTCAAACAACGGCAGCATTTAATAACGTATTAGGTCAGCTCTTTGTTACTTAGTAATACTAAGATACTAAATAAACGGTGGGGGGAGGGGGAGTGTGGCGCAGTGGGTTGTGTGTAGGTGTTGGGATCAGGGGGTCACAGGTTCAAACCCCACTGCAGTCAGCATGTCGTTGTGTCCCTGAGACACTTCACCCCAAATTGCTCCCGTGGGGATTGCCCACAGTATTGACTATGTAAGTTGCTTTGGATAAAAGCTTCTAACAAGTAACATGTAATAAATGTAATGTAATGTAAATGCCTCTTATTCTTAGTTTTGCTGTTTCCATACTTTCTTTACTGACAGAATATCAAACTATATTGTCAAAATGTGATTTACAATTTTGCAAGGGCATTAGTGAAATTAAGTCTAAATCATTTCAACTACTAAAGCAACCTTGAGCTCAAATAACACTACCGGTACTCTAACAGTTAGAGAAGATACATTTTCAAAATGTACTTCTCTGCTGTCAGCATAGTCTCATTTACAGGGCCATTTAACCATATTGACATTTCAGTGTGACTCTACCGGCTGCAGAGCCTTGGAACTTGTCTCCAGCCTTATTGCAGAGGACTAAGTGCTAATAGCTGCTTCAGCCCTACATGACCTGCAAACAGCTTGCTGCTTATGAGGTCTTATTGGTGGGATGTGCTTCTCCAACCTCAGGCGCTGTTAATGGCCTCTCACAAAGGTGAGGCAAGGAATGGCTGATATATATCACCAGCTTTTTCTCTTTCTGTTCTCTCTCTTGCCTTTCTGCCGTCTCTTACTTTTCTCTTCACGATCATCCCCTTTACATTTCTATTTCTGCCACTCCTCTATCCCCATGTTCTCCTCACCAAGCATTGCTCCTTGTCTTCAGGTTTTTATCTCTACCTTTTCTTTGTTTAGTTGTTCCACCCATTGCCTCTTTATTCTCCCTCTCTTTTTGCTCACCACATCTCCACTCCCTCCCGTCTGAACAGACTACTACTGGTCTTATCCTGGTGGGACTAATAGGCTGTGATAAAGACGATAGGCATCACATTGCCCGCTACCCTGGGGGCCTGTAGTCTGGAACATTACCTCCATAAGAGAGGGAGAAGTGGAGTAGAGAGTATTATTCAAGTAGAATAGTAAATATGAACAGCACATATAAATATTTTACCCAAAAAGATACAAATATATTTTGGAGGGGGGCGTCTTTGTCCAGAAAACAGCTTTCATCTTTATATATATGTGTATTTCAATAACTTTTTATGCTGCATGACTTGTAATTGCAACCCCCTGTTGTAGTATTTGCACACAATAGCCTCTCTCCTGAATAAAGAAGGGTGGGGTCCTGTGAGGACCCAGAAGGATCCCTGCAGAGCTGATCACCATGATGTGTTTTATGCTTCGGGGGCACTAAGCCATTTGTTCAGTTGTTTTTCTTTTTGTCATTCACCTTCTTTCTCTTTCTCACCGTGCCACCTCTCCTCTGTCATGCCCTGTGTGCAACAGGTTCATTTCCCTTCTTAACGGGGTGCTTCATATACTGGAGGTGACCAAGGAGGATGAGGGTGCCTACCGCTGTGTCGCGTCCAATTCTGCCAGGAAGGACATCAGTCATGAAGCCAGGCTCACTGTCACCACAGGTGAGGCCTGTTGTAGAGCTTTAGTGTGTTTGAATAGGCAGCCAGGCCCCGCTGGGAGCTGCCAGCCAACCTCAAATAACCTAATGTGACTTTTTAGGACTAGATGCTTGAAAATGATCTGTCTAGTGCTAAATGAATGGCACTTTATCACCATGTGTTTTGATCAACCCACTGTTTACATTGTTTGTTTGAAACTGTGGTGAAGAACCTTATCTAAAACTGAAAAAAGAAAAACAATTCTGGCAAATATTTTGAAATGGAAAGTTCCACATTACACTTTGTTGATTGCGTTTTGAATCATTGTTGTATGATTTTATAAAAAACATGCCTGTGCAAGCACACTTTAAACTTTCCCTCTTCAGCTGATTTGAATGGGAAAATAAGTAACAATAAGCAGATCAGGTCTTATTTTAGTAGAGGACGCATTATAATAGATTGCATTACAATAAAATACCGTGGCTTTGTACTCGTAGACTCTTTTGTGAGGATTGTGATTCCTCTGAGTAGTCTAAGACTGTAGAAACTTCATTTATACTGTACATTGCAACACAATAGCTGATGCTGCACACATATCAGTGAATAGGGAACATATGGGAAAGTATCTAGACCAATTCTTCTATTCCTTTATTTATAATACAACAGGAAATAGCGAGATATGATGTCTTTAATGTGAGGAAAAACTACCCTTTTCATAAAAGTCCAGCCCACATACATTTTACAGACCTTTGCTATGTGTTCCCTATGCAATGCTTTTTCTATACATGTCCTTCTGATTTCTCATTAAAAGCATTTCTATGATGCAGATCACTTGATGATGTTTTGTATGAGACGCTGCTAAGTGCTGTGCCTTGTTCTTGCCTGTCCTTCAGACTTAATTTCCCTGATACACAAAGATATCAAGAAAACAATGTTGACAGACAGATGTTCTGTACTGCAGGTGTTGACACTTTCAACGTATTCTCCCTTAAGCACCTGTCACAATTATGTGAGCGTTTTTTCATCCACATGACTCACTCTCCCTGTATGGAACAATGGGAGAAGAAAATCAATGTTTCAATTTAGTGACTCAATTTAAACTTGGCACATCCCAAGTTATGCGTTTCAAATACCAAGTTTATTAAGAAGTAAGCGCTTCTGGAAAATAAATATACGTATTTATGGAATAATCACTTCATTGTCTCCCAATAATGTTCATCTAAAACTGCACAACGGATCATTTTGTACCGGCCACAGCAAATTATGTGTCTCACATTACAGAGCCTTTGCCTTTTTTTTTGCAATTTACTTAAATTAAATATAATAGAAATGATATTTATCTTCAAGCCACTGACAAGAAAACAAATCTTAACCTCAAAATGTCAATCGTATGGCAACAAATAAAAGATAAATGTTACAATGTGGAGTAATTATGCCCAAATCAACTAAACAAGAACAACATTAAATGATTGATGCTGTTTACAGAATGAAGGAATATCTTTCAGGACACATTTTTTGACCGTTATGATACAGTTAAAATCCTTCTAAAGCTGCTTGCATCATACAAGGACTTCCATCAGTGGATTACATAGTGCTCTGAATCAGTGAGACTACAGTGAGGTGTGATTTGACCATTAGGCAGCCCACATTAAAGCCATGTCGTATTATCTGCCTCTGCAGCTAGAGATCAATCAACTGTAATCGGCTCCTCTGCGGGAACCATCAGGATGCTTTGAGTCACAGCCTTTGTGTCTTTAAAAAAAAAAAAAGGAGAGAGATGAATTGATAAGGCCGAAGGAAGTGAATCAGATACCACATACTGACTTTTAAAACGCTGTTCCAAGTTTTCAAAAGCCCCCTTCTTCATTTGTATTACTTTTCTCATGCCTGTATCTTCCTTTTAGTACAAATATACAATAGAAGGGAACATATCCTCTTTTCTTTTCGACAGGCGCTATACGGTAAAGATAGTCAAGAGCCTTTTGGAAAAGGAGTTAGGTAGATACAGTACATTTGAATGGAATATCCAACCAGTAAAGATAAGGGGGAGACTACTTAAAGCTCTCTTGAGAGCCATTTCAAGTAACAGATGTCAGATCTCTTTCTTTATTCGCTTCCACTTCAGAGTTCTAGGAATAGGACATCTCAACACCTATAGCCACGCTTTGACGGCATGCTGCTGAGGTGCTCCAGTCCACGTTCTTAACATATAATGTACTCCAGATGCCTTAAACCTCCACTTTATAGTTTCACCTACCTCTTCCTCAGTTTCTACATGCTTAAAAAAATCACCCTTACCCATCATATCCACATAAGACCCCTATGGAGAGGCACCCTGCAGTCCTTTCAAAAGCAGACTGACCCACTTTAAGTCCTATGCATATCCAAGGGTTGCTGTATGTAATCTTAATGATTAATATATAACATGCCCGGCCGTGCTCTGGAGGTTAATAGCAATATGTGCTGCTGAAGTTCAGTCCTACCAAACAGCTGTACCTTGGGGAATGATATGCTCTCAAAATAATAGTCTCTTTTCCCCTCATCCCATAAACAATATGCTTTCATTGGCATCCTTCGTCACTGAAGAGCAGAGAAGAGCCTCAGCTCTGTAATCGAGGTCCTTCTATTAACTGAGTTTAATGGTCTACCTTTTTCTCTCGAAAGAAACTGTATATTGCGTTCTCCTTTTCTCCCTCTCATCCTCATGTTCCAAGCCTTTCTGTGCTTTATCAGGTTTGTGTCAGGTGCCACTAAGTATCATCATGATTTCCTCTAGCGATGTCTACCCTCTTGTTCAAGGTTTACTTACCAGTTTTGTACAATATGTCTACTGTCTGAGATGTTTACTGCAACCTGTACATGAAATGAGATATATGCTCTCACATCAAAACCCCTCTGATAAAGATGTCCTATTCAGGTCTTATCCATTTACAACAACCACTTAGAATGGATGAAGCCTCAACAAGATAGCAATCAGACAACTGCAGAGACTCTTGTTATAATGAAGTGACCTGCTGTGTGAGAAAGAAACACTGTCTCGTGCAAAATACTCACTAAGGAGTTACTGTAAACTCCTGCAAATGCATCTTCAAAAGCTCCTCTGTCTTCCGCCTCAATGAAACTCTAGCTGCTGATCTGGATTATCACCTCCTATTCCCTTTATAGTCCAAACAGTCCATTGTCGGCTTAATCAGTTATGTATCACAATTAGGTATTTGTATCAACTAAAATTAAGCCCCAATATTACTGCGTATCTCATGTGCATTGCTCGATAATAGGAAATGCAAATCATGACATGTTGGGTGTTAACAGCAACCACGTATGCATACTGCCACCCACTGGGCAAGGAATGCCCCTGTGTTACTGAGTAGAAGACTGAGAATTGTGAACCAGTCTTTGATTCGTTCATTACCTTACATTACATTACATTTAGCTGACACTTTTATCCAAAGCGATTTACAATAAGTGCATTCGACCAAGAAGATACAAACTTGAAGAAAACAGGATCTTATAAGCACATCAGGTTTCATAAAGCCAAGACATTTCAAGTGATACTCAACTGGCTTTATATAAACCAGTCCTTTATTAGTATATAAGTGCTGTGTTAATAATTGTATCGCTCGAAGTGGAGTCGAAAGAGATGAGTTTTCAGTCTGCGCCGGAAGATGTGTAAGCGTTCTGCTGTCCTGATGTCAATGGGGAGCTCATTCCACCATTTTGGAGCCAGGATCATAGAATTATCATTTATTATCAAAGTGTTGTTGAGAAATCCATTTCTTACTGCCGTTGTTATACCTAAGAGGGCCTGGAAGTCTCTACATGCTGGGGTTATACAAGGAATAGTTAGAAAAAACAAAAATGGGCAATTATGTTGGATAACTGTTGCCCCACAATAAGGCATCATTTCCATTTGTTCACTCCTTTGGTGAAGGATGGGGGATTCAATAAATAGAAAAAAACTGATTCTGAAGTTGGGACCAGGCTGATAGCATCGATCATTCTGTCAGGTACAATCACAAACATATCTAATTGAGCGGCAGGAGGTAGAGGGGGTCATCAACCAATTGAAATGTTGATGGAGGGAGGCTGTCGCGCAGTGGACTAATGCGTTGGTGTTCGGATCAGGGGGTCACAGGTTCAAACCCCACTGCAGTCAGCATGTCGTTGTGTCCCTGAGACACTTCACCCCAAATTGCTCCTGTGGGGATTGCCCACAGTATTGAGTATGTAAGTTGCTTCGGATAAAAGCGTCTAACATGTAATGTAATTAATTCCTAGCTACTACAGTCAAGTGTTGGCCAAAATACTGACCCCTGAAGTGGCAGCAGTGTGTGAATGTTTGTTAATGTTTATCCTGATGAGGTGGATGCTGACTTATGAATGTAAAATGCACTTTGAGTGGTTACATAGACTAGAAAGGTGCTATCTAAATGTGGTCAATTTCATTTTTTACTGCTACACAACACCAAAGTAAACATTTATATTTTTGTTCTAGGCTCCACTGAAGCTCTGAACGGAGTTGCGATTGTTGCCCCGCCTCAGAATGCATCGGTGGTGCTGGGCCGTCCCGCTGTGATGGAGTGTATGGCACAAGGCCAGCCGAAGCCTCTGGTGTCCTGGAGCAGACAAGGTAACGCTGCCAAATGCTCTTACTCGCTTTTTTTCCCCTCTGGGGTTCCCATCCTGTTTGTTTTTCTTATTTTACGGCATCTGTCGCACTTCCATTATCTGTGCCTCGCTCTCTGGCTATACGTCTCTCACACACAAAGAAAACACATCAAGGCGTCAGGACACAGATTTGTGTATCCTGTGGCTGCAAAGTTGTTGTTTTATTGATGATCGCTGTCTCCTTCTCAACTAGTCCTGTGTTTTTCTACTGTTTTGTGCGCTGAGCCATGCTTTACAGGAGGTGATTAGTCATGTTAATTAATTCATACCTGCTGCTTCTACACACAGAAACACAGTCTTGCTGGGAATGATGTCAAGTTAAACTCTTGGATTCCTTTGTGATGTGATTTGGCAAAATGTCTGACATTTTTGGTTTAGTGCTGCATCTGATTTATTTTTTCCCCATTTAACATATCACTACATATCATTTTCTGTATTGCGTTCAACAACAGCACAAAATGGCGGACAGACGAAATAGAGGTTTATATAGTGTATAGTGAACGGTTTTACACACAGCCTGGGAGTGTGCCAATGCAGACACCTCAGTGAACCTGGAGTAAAAAGTCACAGAGCCACCTGTTGGTAGACTTGTGGGATTACAGGTCAAATCCTCTGCTCCTGAAGTGCTGCCTCTCTTTCTTCTTTGCTGTTTGTAAGGCAACTGAAAGCCTGGACATTGATCTCCACTTTCCTCTGTGTCTAATTCCTGTTATTTTTCATCTTAATGATCTGAGAATGTCCTGTCGTTCTTTGTTACTTGCTTCTTTGATCAGATGGAAAGCCCATTTCTACTGATGTGGTTGTGCTCGCAACGAACCTGGTGATTAGGGACACGAGGCGTCACCATGCCGGCGTCTACGTCTGCCGGGCCAACAAGCCCAAGACCAGAGAATTTGTCATTGCTGCTGCTGAGCTGCATGTGCCTGGTAGGAGACGTGTTGTCATTACTGTATATAATGACATAGTAGAGGTTTCTGTGGACCCTTAAGACACAGAGTAATTGAAGTTCTGATGCTACTATTACTAAAAACGATTTTTATTTAAATGTAAATATTACCTTAAAAGCATTTCCCTTTATTTTATAAAAGGCATATCTAATGCTTTGTGTCATCCCTTTTACATTAAA